ACTCACTAGCTAGGGTTCGCAACCGCTCTATCAAGTCATTCGCGGATATTATTCCCCGGCAGGCACCCACGTTCCCACGTATACCAATTCCCAGAGAAACCCAGATCACTAAGGTCACTGTCACTCAAAACGTCTCGAAAACTAGCCATGTTCTGTTCTGAACAAAGTTGCCCTCTTCGCTTTTCAAACGAGTACGCAATCTCATTGAAGTCCCGGGCTACCAGCCACGACAAAGATTGGTCAGATCCCAGATGGCATAAAAGATCCCAAGCGTCAGAACGACCACCTTCCTCCTGACTCCCATAGAAACCTGAAAAGCGCCAAACCACATCGACACTTTCTCGGATAATGACATCAATATGAGACCGGGAATAGCTTTGCAACTCACCCAATCAGGCTTCCATACTAATGATAATCCATCTCTTGAACCCTCCGCAACCACATCAATACCAAATTAAAAACCACATTTCCTACGAACACGCTCCATATATACATCGTACATTCAGCTTTGTTTTCATAAGAAACAAAAGGTGGGGAATGCTACCTCTCAGAAAATTCTTGAGACAGTTAATCGCCTATGGTGTCCCCAACCCACGGACATTCCAGCTAATGAGCTTCATTGCAACTGGCTGCCATGCCCTGCAGAGCCGGCTGATAACTCAGATACTTCACATGTGCTAACAGAATCAATTTTATATGAAACTGCCCACACCTCACCAGCTAGTCGTTGCCTTTTCTTGCCATCAGGAATACTATAAGAGGATGATCCTCACCATAAAAACCATTTTCCATACAACCCCCATCATTAACACAATGACTAGGCCCCACACCGTTGACATCTAGGTTAACTTGGGCACTCCCCCTTGTTGCGTTTCTACACGTAACGGAAGTTAAGAAATGTTCCTTCTGATAACTTCCCATGCACACGCAACTACCCAGAAGAGTCTACGCTCACCTTATTCTCCACTAAGGAGGATCCCATAATTGCTTCCGTAACCACCTGCTCGGCACCAGTGGCCCTCGTCTACTCAGAGCTTAGAGAGACAAGTCCCACCCGAAAACCACATCCTTCGGATCCATCCTTAACCGAAGGGGACAATAACTTTCCCCCATGCCCTAGCTTCCCATACACAAAGCAAAAATGCGTAACTATCTCTTACTGAAAATGAACATAACAATCTCGACTCTTCCCCAACATAATTTTCTTTTTGCGCTTTAATGGCTGATTAACATTTAGCAACACCTAATGCGCATAAATGGCTTCCTACTTGAAACAACCAGTTTAGAATCATATTCCAAGAACTTTCCAACAAAGTTACCCAATTGACGAGCCATTGGTTCAGACATCAATCCTGGTGCCAAATCGTGAACTTGCACCTAAAAAACAGCCTCATCTAAGGGAACTACAATGGGGTCTTCTCCTTTGGCCATTCTATACAGCAACAACAAATGGTTATTAAAGAACTATGGTGAACCGTCTAGAACCCTAGCCAAGTCAATCTCATTATAAAACTTGAGGCAAACTCTATTTTCACTGAGGTCTGTTATCAAACGCCCTCAAAGGATGCCACGCATCTGCTAACGTATTCCGCATTGCTAAAAAATGCACCACGCTGGAAGTCAAGAAACGCCCTATCAGGCAAAACTGATATTCATCAGCAACTTCCTCAAGTTCAGGAGGAATTACGAGAGCCTCCTCTTCACCATCATCTATTGTCAAATTCGCCAACTCAAAATCCATGCAAAGACGAAATAAACATCAAGTCAGCCCTAAGAAGGAAAGGGAAATCCAAGAGAATAACTGAACTAGCGTGCAAAACTGCAGACGAAATACGTACATGGTGGGGTTTATTTGCTCATGAATGCTTCATTTAATTATTTGTTTTTGTGTATGGTTTTGGCCTTTTGGGGCTTTTATTTTCGTTGTACGCGTTACTTCTATTACCGATCACAATTTGACTTAAGGGGATAATGTGACAGAAAAGGGCGGCTACTGGCTGAGCTATGAATTATGATGGGAAAGTTTAAGGATGTAGATTAATTTAAGATTAAAGAATAGTAAAAAAATGATCAACAGTAAATTGGTATTATGGGATGAGATATTAAGTCCTTAAGTAAAGTCAGAGTTTGAATCTTAGCGTTTGCAAATGGAATTAATTGGATGTGGAGAATCGCTCTCGTCTTTACAGTATCTAATCTAAATTAATATGAGTGAGTAACCTTGTTTAAGAAGGAGATAATAACATTGTTTAAAACTTGAATATAATTAAAAGTTTTAAAACATTTATTTTCTAATTATTTTATTATTTGGTCACATTCGATTTTATTTGACTCCTTAAATAAGATCTAATATATTCTTTTATTAATTATTTAAAAAAACTATAATAAATGAATCAGTTAGATCAATTAAGGCAACGCAAATTATGGTTGAATTTAAGTAATTAGATGTAAAATATGATTGAATCTGCACACTTAACCTTCTGCTTGTCCCTGTAGGCATTAGCCATACACTTACAGCTTTATTGCTTTGGGTGGTACTTGATGGTCGTAAATTGAAATAAATACCACCCAAATTATAAATACCGTTTAATTGCTGGACGTTGAATTATTGCACATGGCCCAATAAGGTGAACAATTACTTTAATGGGTAAATTATGAGTTTATCACTAAACTATTAGTTTTGGTCCGTTTTTTATACTTATACGTTTATATTTTTCAAAATTATACAAAAAGTTTAATTGTTCTTTCATTTTAGTACCTTTTTTTTAAAAAACTTTAATTTTTTGTTTCATTTTAGTACCATCGTTCAAAATTAATGTTGAGTTTTTTAAAAAAAATAAAAATTTAGGTACTTAAAAGGATCAAAACCGATAGTTTATGTATTAAACGTTTTAAGTTTTTTAATGACGGGATACTAAAATGAAATAAAAACTAAACGTTAGACATGCTTTTTGAAAAAATTGAAAGTTTATGTATTAAAACAAACTAAAACTGATAGTTCAGATACTAAATGCGTAGTTTACTTTGTTTTAATTAGATCTAGTATCCAATTAATTCGAATAAGATGTTATAAAATTTATTATTAAAATAAATTTTAAATTCAATTTATATTATTTATAATATCAAAATTTGAATTATTAGTTAAATTTTATCTTATTAAATTAATTGATAATTTATAATATTAAACGAATTTTCTAAATAGGTTAAAGATAAGTGAATAATATAAATATAGGATATCAATGCGATGGGTAATTACCATAACAAATGGAAAATAGTTTATTTAATTATAATAGATTAGATTGGAGGAGCACATTCGGGGAATTGAGGCCAAATGGTCAATGGTCCTCACTTGAACGCATATATTAAAAGTTTGATAATATGAAATTATAAAATTTTAAGAGTATAGAATTAGATTATTTATAAAAAAAAAATCTCTTGATTGATATGAAAAATTAAAAAATTAAATATAAATAAGTAAATAATAAGGATTGAATACAATAATAATGTATTATATTTTTAAAGAAGATATTTAAAATTTAAAAAGAGTTAATTTAATCTTGAACATGATATATATATACTTCTAAAGATCATCTTCGAAAACTTCTAAGTCTATGTGACACATAATTTACGAAACCATTAGTTTTTCATTATTTAAGGTCTTCAAGTAAATCTCTCTGATTATCGGAGTTATTGAGGAACCCACATCTTTTGGACATGAAGTTTAAAATCAACTACAATGCATAGGCAAGACTTCTGATAGACGCGCGTGACGTACCATAGTAAAAATTCAAGGTTTGATTATCAGATCCGTCTAACCCTTACTCTACAAAATAACTACAATGACCGAACGACTGACACACATACTAAAAGTCACTCTAAATATCATCCAACACAACACAATAAAGAAAGGGACTAACAATTAATACCTTCTACATTGAACATCCATCCTTCTCCCATGATCAACTAATTTTTTTAACTCTACGTCTAAATAAGAAAAATGAATCGTTAATGATCAATGAAATTAATTTATTCCTATCAAATAATGTATATATATATAAAGAGTAAATTACACATTTTATACTTAAATTACCATTTTTTGTCTATTTTAGTATCTAAACTTTTAATTTTTTCAAAATCATATCTAAAGTTTAGTTTTTGTTTCATTTAGTATCATGTCGTTAAAAACTTTAGTTTTTATTTCATTTTAGTGTCACGTTCAAAATTTAACGTTAAGTTTTGAAACATTAAAGGTTTAGGTACTAAAATGGACTAAAATTGATAGTTTAGGTACTAAACGCGTTAAGTTTTTAACGATGGGTACTAAAATGAAATAAAAACTAAACGTTAGATATGATTTTTAAAAAATTGAAAGTCTAAGTACTAAAATCGATCAAAATTGATAATTTAGGTATTAAATGCGTAGTTTACCCATATATAAAAGTTGAGAAATCAACACTTTCCCCTTAAAATATGTGCATCAACCAAATCCAATCTAATGTAACAACAAAAAACGTGCACCACCTACTATCATTACTTGTCTTGACCAACAGGGATATTGGTTGTTCACACCCACCTCCACTCTCTTTGTATTAAGCTTCACTATCAAAATTATATAGTGTCGCTTTAGAGTTTAGATAATTCGATGGATTTTAATATAATTAAAAAAAAAACTAAATTAAAATAACTCGGATAATAGAAAAGGCTTTTGTGTAGTATAATTTTACTATTATTATTATTATTTTTAATTAATCTGATATATTGTTCGATAAATCCAAATCGGGTATGGTAGAGCAGATGACAACCCTCTTAACTTAGTTTATTATATCCACAAACGTCAAGGTTAAACTCCGACATTACTTAAAAAATATAATTGTTATCTCATTAGATCAGCCATCCCATTAGACGGATTGGTTGTTGGTTAATTTTACTATTATTATTGGCATCAAAGTGAAGTAGACGCTCTCTCGTATTTTATTAAATTCTCGTTAGGTCCTTTGGATGATCCATTTTCATCATCCTAATTCCTTGTTATCATCTCTCAATTGCTGCAAATTTTTATTTCTTCAAGTTTAGCATTTCAATTCCGTCTCAAGAAAATCAAACAAAACTCAAGTTGCCATTTTTTTCCCGAGATGAAGATCGAGGATTTGGATGACGTGGAGAATGATCGGTTAAAAGACGTGGATTACGGCGCGAAGCAGTTGCAGATAGTTAGAGTCGACGATGCGAAGCGAGTCCTAGTCGGAGCGGGTGCTCGGATCCTTTTCTACCCGACCCTTTTGTACAATGTCTTCAGAAACAAAATCCAATCCGAGTTCAGATGGTGGGACGAAGTTGACCAGGTTTCTCTTCTACCCGAATTCACACTTAGATGATGATCGATTGAAAATCGTGGCTTTCTTTGATTTTCCTTTGTGTTGCTGATGAATTCTTCTTCGTTTTAACTTCAGTTTCTTTTGCTGGGGGCTGTTCCGTTTCCCGGGGATGTTCGACGGTTGAAGCAGTTGGGCGTTGGCGGGGTCATCACTCTCAATGAGCCTTTTGAAACTCTGGTCTCCACTTCTTTATATCATGTAAGCTTTTCTTTGTTTAAAATCTTCAATTGTTCAATTGAATAATATGAATTCCCAGTTGAGCTTATTTTACTGATCACTCATATCTGTAGAGATGAGTATTTGATTCAATAAAGTCAAAAAAAAATCGAGTCGAATTATTCAATCAATTGATTTGACGAGTTTATTTGAGTTTTTGTATAAATTCGAGTCGAATAATTCAATCATATTTTTTTCATAATTGAGAGACTTTATTTGAACATGAAAATCAATCAACTAATTACTAAAAATTGAGTGATTTGAGTATTGTTTTATAATTCAAACTTTATTTAAAATATTTTCGAGTTAAATTTATAAAATTATGAGCCAAATCGAGTTGATTTTAGCGTCGTGTTGAAAATTTTAATGTTTTGAGTCTATTCGAATTCCGTTCACCCCTACACATGTATAGTTCAAGATGAATGCTCTTTTTTTTGGGGGGAAATAGCTTATTTAGTGTCTTGATCTTTACATTTACTGCTTTGTGGTTTATTGACAGGCGCACGGAATTGATCACCTAGTGATTCCAACGAGAGATTATTTATTTGCTCCTTCAGTTTCAGATATCAGCAGAGCTGTGGACTTCATTCATAGTAGGATACTTTCTTTCAACTACCAGTGTTAATCACAGTTGCCTGATTGTTGTCACACCTGATTTCCCCTTTATTTTGCTACAGAGAATGCTTCGTGTGGCAGAACCACCTACGTGCACTGTAAAGCTGGACGAGGAAGGAGTACCACTATTGTGCTTTGCTACCTGGTAAATCTCTATCTATTGCATGGTGCTTGTTGAGACACTGTTGTTCATGACTATTTGAGGTTAGCTCTATATTTGCTTTGTAATTTTGATTATTGAATTAACACTGGTAGGTAGAGCATAAGCAGATGACGCCTGCCGGTGCCCTCGAATATGTTCGGTCTCGAAGACCTCGAGTTTTGCTTGCCCCCTCACAGTGGAAGGTATGTGTTGTTATCATGTGCAGAATATGAAACTTCCTTAGAAATACATGTTTTTATTTATTGTTTGCATAGGAACTGAGAATAGATCAATGTTTCCAAATAGAACTAATTACCAGATTTCTTCCATTTACAGGTATGATTAATGGACTGTGTCTCATCTCTCTTGTTTATTTCTTGTTTGTTAATGGTTATGAGCAGGCAGTTGTGGAGTACAGCATGCGCCGACAACTGGCTTCCACCATACACTCTCCTTCAGCAGATGCAGTTATGATTACAAAAGCAGATCTTGAAGGTTATCATAGTACTTTTGATAATATTACCACTGGTAAGGAGCTTGTAATCCTTCCAAGAATGGTGAGTTCCAGCCCGATGATAACAAGATTGTCATGCCTTTTAGCACCATTCAAAGTTTCTGGTGTTTTCGGACCTGTAAGTGGGAGGCTTCATGAAGAACGCGCTTGCTGAGTCCGCCGCTCCTAGAAAACCTTGTCAGAAAAATAGGAAATAAGTACAGATTGTAGAGGTCTGCTAAATATCCAAGTGTGTATGACAGAAACAGAAGGAAAACTATAAAACATAGAAAGCCAGAAGACTTCTTCAATGATAATTGATATGCATAACATATGTTCAATTATACAGTCAGCTTTGCTGTTTTATATGCCCCATGTTTGAATTGTGCAAAGACTTTTCATTGATGAAAAAAACATATACATTACATGTTTTGTGGGCATGGACTGAATACCTCCCTGTTTCTTTGGAATGACTAATGCTTCTGTTGTTTAGCTGAAACTGTTCTGTCAAATTAAAGCGACTCGGCACGAAGGTCATATCTTCTTGCCTGTACATCGAAACAACTTTTCGAAGGGGTGATATAAATTCGAACCATTTGATATAAATTTTTGTGTTCGTCCCTGTCTACAATATACTTTCAAGAAGAAAATGGCTGATGGTTATTTGGCATCCCTATTTGATCCTTTAAAAAGCAGCATTGGCCTCATGGGGCTAGAATGGCCATGGTGTTGCTGTTGTAGAGAATCCAAGAAAGGCAAAATTTGCCATGTTGTGATATTCCTTATAGCACTACACAAATTCCACCTGCAACTTCTTTATGGGACCAAATCTCTGCAAACCAGAAACCCTAAAAACCCCTTTTTTGCAAATATATATGATATTAGATTAATTAAAAATTGGGGATGGAGTTGTATACAGAAAGATGCCTGGTTCAAAAGTTGATATTTTGTTGGAACAGGTAGATGGGGTAGCAGATATGTACATATAATAACTGTATAATAGCAATGGATATAAAAGATATAGCATAGTACAGTGTGTGTGTGTATATATATATATATATATATAATATGACAAGAAAATAGAATCTCGACAATAAGATATGAAGGGTCATTTCAATGCTTAAAGGTTATTCTTGTCTCTCTTCTCATTCCCTTGCATTTCATGCTTTATTCCCTTTCAGAAACTACTACGAAGCTGCATGCCTCACCCTCCATTTGCAATTTTAGCTTTATTTCATGCAAGTTCCATGAAAGGCAAATATAACATATATGCACGTTACCTCTCCTCCCTCCTCTCTCTCTCTACATATATTTTTCTATATATTTTTAGTGGTCTCAAATCTTCAACTTCTGATAATCATATGAATTTTAATTATACCGTCAGATTTAAAAAAGATCGATATTTTTTAAATATGTTATATGTTGTTTTGTACTAATGAAAGATTCTATGATTCCTATAAGAGAATGAAAGATTCTATGATTCCTATAAGAGAAGATTAGAAGAATTTTAACGGAACCCCATATTCTATCCTATCTCTCTAAAATCCACAGGACCAAACAAATGAACTCCTTTATTACGAGTATGACAAGCACTTACCAAAAGGCAAAAAGAAAACCAATGGATAAGACAGAAGACATGCAAGTAAGCTCCATCGTGGCACCTTCCCATTTGTCACATCAAACATAATGTTGCGGATGATTAAGAGTGTGTATTAGACCGAATCTAATAAAAATATTCATCAAAACATGTATTGGGGTTCGAATTTACCCAAAACTAAGGGTAAAGCACGTTTACTTTTCATTAGGCAAAAAAATCAGTACCAACAAAATGCAGCAGAGGAAGTTTGTCACTAAAAGCAAGTTGCAAAGGATAAAAAAGATGCAGGAAACTTGAAGAAAATGCTTGACCTGATAAAAAAATCAATTGCACCAACTTTCTTCATGCATCATTAGCAATAGTAGTTTTCTTTTCTTTTTCTTTTGACATTGATTTGGTGAGCATATATAATGGTGTAGTTGCAGAGCTGTCCCCCTTAGATGATTATATTGTAGGGACAAAGCAATGGAGGTAAACTGATTTTACTTGAAAGAAGGGATTTGACCATCAATATATATATGATGAAAAGTTGTCATGATCATGATCTATAACCCTTAATTATTAAGGACTAATTCTCCTCTCCTTTAGGGTATTTTTGCAGATATATATACATGGCCTGCAGACAAGTCATGATCCTTACCTAGTTGAAATGTGGGATAACAATTGGCTAGCTTCTAGCCTTGAAAATCTTCCACGATAAAAGAAGAAATGAAAAAGTGGCACACCAATGGGAAAAAACAGTTCTGAAACAAATATTTTCATATCTGTATATATTTTACTAGAAAAGTAACACAACAAAGAATCAACCAGTATGTGCTGCAAATTTGCACAAACTCTTTGGTGTTTTCTCTGTTTGAAAAAGAGCATGGGGAAAGAAATTATACAAAGAGTCTTGAAACAATAAAATAATAAGAATAGACAGACAAAGATGATATTGTGTCATCATAATTGTGGTGATTTTCATGCAGGGAAGTTTTTTTTTCCTTTTCTTTTACTTTCTCCTTCTTTTTCCTTTTGTACTTTCTCTCTTTCCAACATGGACTGTTTTACAGTTAGTTCATTTGAGATTTTGAGGGTGCGTTTGGTTCACGGAATGTAAGATTATCAGTGGGAATAAAAGATTATCAGGGAATAGGATTACTGGGAATGTTGTATTTTGTGTTTGGTTGGTTTAGTAGGAATGTAAGATTACTGTGTTTAGTTAAATGAATAAAAGATTGTTGGAATGTATATTTAACCAAATTGTCCTTATTATATATTTATTTTTTAACAAGTTAAAAAATATGTATATATTTTCTTTAAAATTTTAAATTCATAAAATTTATATAATTTTTTTACAAAATTAAAAATATAAAAAGGTTTAATGAAAGGGTAAAATTTTATTTTAACCCCTGAACTTCATATAAAATTTTAATTATAGACTTTTTTTTGTAAATCTAAAATAAATAAGGATAAATTTATAATTTAACCTTCGTAGAATTTTTATTATTCAATGACAGAATAAGAATATTTTTGAAAGAAAAAAAATTAAGGGCATTTTAGTCCAAAATGTCGGTAATCCAATAATACCTAAAGAAAGAGAGGTAATGACATTCTCGGTAATATACCCAAAAAAATCCACTATTGGTAATGTAAGATTACCGGAAGTGACATTCCCGGCCAACCAAACGAGGGAATGTGAATTTCATTCTCATGGGAATCTCACATTCCCCCGACCAAACACACCCCGAAAGTTATATAAACCAGGTCCCTCTGGTCCTCCCCCATTAGAATAAAAAAAAAGAGAGGAAAAAAACTATAGTAATAGATGGTTTGTTTTTCCTTTGGCCTTTCTCCATGAAAAGAACTTGACCAGAGCTAGGCTTCAAGTATACTAATAATGATGTCTGTAAGGAATTTTCTTTGTTTTGTCATTAATTTTTCCTTTTTTGCTTCTACCCATGATGATCCTGGTTGTCAGGGTCAGGCCAGAATGAAGAGTACTTCAACCATTCAGCTTCATGTGGGTTTGTAATGGATGATTCCTGTTCCAAAACAAACAACAACAAAACCCCATGTTCACGCAATGAAAAACACAACTTATAATTAGGGTTTTAACCAAAACACAACTAAATGAAGAAGCTGCCTTCTTTTGTCTTCTCTCCAACTACAACAATCAAATGGTTTGTTGGTGTATCTATATTAGGCTACATATATGATAATAGGGTTTCCAGGCATGTTTTTATCATTCTTCCTTTCCCATGAACCCAACCAAAAGAATGTTATTCACTGACTAGCTGTTTTTCTTTGCTTTTTGGAACCTTTTCTTTTTAATATGACGCTTTAAAAATAGCTTCAAAGTGGGGTAATTTCCAGGATTTCACAGCAACTTGTAAAGCAACATGTATTCAAATGAAAACCAAAGGTGGTGTAGGGAAAGTAGTATAGGTTCTTTAGTTTTCCAATTACTTTTTCTTTTTGTCCTAAAGAGAAATATAAAAGTATTTCATGGAGTACAATTTTCAGGGATTTGGCTTCATTTCAAGGATTTCATAGTTTCACATTCTAATATATTTGATTATGAGAGTGATAGAAGTATGTTTGATCAATTTTGGCTTATTTCATCATTTGCCCCCAAAAATATACTTATTTTTTCATTTTGGTGCAAGAGTTTAACAGTTTTTTATAAGACTGTGTCGAGTATCATGTTCTTTAGTGACTAACTTTTTTGAGAGATTTTGAACATAGTGATAGTTTAAATGGCAAGATGGATAAAAGAAGTGTCAAGGTATCAAAAGTAGAAAACGGGTATTTTTTAGGGGCGGAATCGTGAATTAAACCATTTTGAAAAGGCTATGCACTCTCTTCGACAGCACTTTATTGTAGTATGATATCTACGTGCATTTCTTCACAGGATGCTGAATGCCATGCTAAATCTCTGATGGAATAAAAGAAGAAAGAGGTAGAAGAGAAAAAGAAAAGAACTCTGGTTTCTCTCTCTTTTTCAAATATATATAATCTTCACTTACTTTTTTCTTTCTTTAGTCCATTGCTTAGTTGGTAATTATATGAGAAAGACAAGGCTCATAGGTTTCAGGATCAAAAAAGTTCCAACTCACTTCTTTATTATCTGATGATGAAGTGCAACCCATTATCAGTTCCTCCAAGCCTGATGCAGACCTTCCTCCCAGTTTATAATGCTGCTGTTGTTGTTGATGCTGCTGCTGCTGTTGTTGTTGTTGCTGCTGCTGCAGTTTATTCATTTCAACAATGGATCATGACAATAAGGATTAAAAAAAGTAAAAAGAAGATAAAGAAGAAGAAAAAGAAAGACAGTTCATTGTTCCCAATTTAGTTGACAATAAAAAGTAAGCATGGCTACATTGAGTCTGCCACATTTACTACTACATTATCACCCACCAAAATCCCAGAGTTTCAGTTTCATGGTGGAACTGCATGCATCCCCATATATTCATTTATAATTTGACCTTAAAAAGTGCTTTAGCTTAATGAGTACCGTAATTAAATATGAAAATGTTGAATACATACGAAAAACACTGTGTCATGTTGTTCCTACTGAGTACATAGAGATTATATATATCAGAAAACTAGTTTTTTATTTTTTCAAAAGA